TTTTTTGAGACAGTCTCACTCTGTCACCCAGGCTGGAGTGCAGCGGCACAATCTTGGCTCACCGCAACCTCTGGCTCCTGGTTCAAATGAACTTCCCACCTCAGCCTCCCAAGTAGCTAGTATTACAGGTGTGTGCCACTACACCCAGCTATTTTTAGTAGAGATGGGGTTTCACCACGTTGGCCAGGCTGGTCTTGAACTGCTGGCCCCATGTGATCCACCCACCTCGGCCTCCCAGAGTGCTGGGATTACAGGCATGAGCTACTGTGCCTGGCCAGTTCCTTATCTTTATTCTTACCCTGGGGGTACTTGCCACATTCACTGGATTAAAATTACCAGAGTAGAGAGCCCAGTTTTAGGACCATAGGCAATTTGGGCCTGAGAACACTAGCCTAAGCTCAGGAGTCCCCAACTCTGGGGATTCCTTCTGCCTTCTACCCACCCCCAAGCATCTCTCCTTCAAGGTGCTGCAGAACCCAGATTTTACTATCAGAGTCCCTGCCAGGTGCATGAATGTATGTGAATTCTTTCTGCTGCACTGCTGAGAGCAGTCCCTGGGCCTGGACTTTGACAAGCAGACAGTGACTTTAATTGAATCCAGATATCCATCTTGTCTGTCTTTGGAGGTATTTTTCCCAGCTCCCCCTCCCTACCCCTGATCAGCTGCCCACTGAGTATCTGACAACCTTAAGCTTTGAGCCCAGCATGGTGGCCAAGCCTCAGGGTGTTGGATTCCAGCTTAGGGACCTGGCATCCATCTTTAGGCTTTCTATTTCTTAGGCCAGGCAGACCTGGCCACGCTGGGCTGAGAGCAAAGGGACAGTTCCCATGATAGCCAAAGCTCTATTTACCTGGTCCTGCTTATAGCACTGGGGTGGGGTAGGGAACAACACTGGGAACTCCAAGGTTTTTTCTTCTCCTCGGGACATGTATCTTCCCCTCCCCTATGGGTCCTGGAGTAAGCCTGGAGTGGGCAGAGAGCCCCACCGCCACCTCCAGCTGCAGCGGTCGATGAAGTCTGGCGTTTGTTTAGCTTCTCCACTCAATACTCTAATCCTGCCAAAGACCTAATAGACTATTGAGCAGTCCCGGGGGAGGGCACAAGCATCATCCAGCAGTGTGTGTTGTTTTACAGCCGTTCCTGAGCATGCCGCTCGCCTGCAGCGCTTGGCCCAGATCCACATTCAGCAGCAGGTATGGGAGGGCAGAGGACTAGAAGGGAAGATAGAGGTGGCACAGCCCCTTGTCCCCACTCATGCCACCTGGGGAAGCAACTTCAGGCCCTTCTGATGTAAGCTCAGAGGAAACTTTGGGGTTTATCCTTTATCTTCCATATGCCCCAGTGAGGTAAAGGGACTTGCCTAGGTTCATGTCCAAACCTTCTGTCTCCCAGAGCAGGGCTTTACTGAGACACCATAAGGTTGAGGCTTGGAGGTATCCAAGAATTCCTGGGGATGGTCTGTCCTTGACGATGAGTGGAGGAGCTCTTTTTTCACCATTCCCAGGCCCTAGTGTAAAGTTCATAGAGAGTTCAAAAATAAAGGCAGAAGAGGAGACATACACTAGGGGGAACGTTTACTTAATGTATGGCCACTCCCTTTTCAGTCAGTCTTTGTACTGCTGTTAGGGCACCTATCCTGGAGCCTGAAAGTTCTCCCATAGCCATTTGTTCCTTTGGCTTTGGGATTCAGCATCATCTTTTTTAGGCTCTATGAGGAGTGGGAGTCCCTGATGAGGCAGGAAGTGTATTGTAAGATAAGGGCTTTGCCAAGCTCCTTTCTATGCTACACTTTGGCCCTACAGGACCAGTGTGTGGAGATCACTGAGGAGTCCAAGGCTCTCCTGGAGGAATACAATAAGACTGTATCCTTTCTGCTTAACTAGGACCTTGGGTGTTGTCCCCAAGCCCTGTCGTTTTGTCCCACCTCTAGCTCTCTCTCATCCCATCCCACCCACCTGTATTTGCCTGCTCCCCACTTTCCATGCACTTCCTCACTCACTCCTATTCTCACCTTGACCTACAACCAGACAATGCTTCTCTCCAAGCAATTCGTGCAGTGGGATGAACTACTTTGCCAGCTAGAGGCCACCAAACAAGTGAAGCCAGCAGAGGAGTGACAGCTGCTCCCCATCCCAGGGTGGGCCTGGGCAGTCAGGCTCCAGGGCTCTATGCCAACCTGCCTTTGTTATAAGGCAAAGGAAGCTTTGTATTTATTGGATTCGAGGCCCACCTCTCTGTACTCAGGTGGGGCTCTAAAGTTAGAGATCAGGTTACCTGAGGTCTGCAATTTGAAACACCCACCCTCCCCCCCATGAGTGTTCTTATTCCGGTGACAATAAACCATAGAGATGACTGGAGGAGTGTGCTGGCTTCCTGGTTTAGGTTGGGGGTTGGGGGAGGGGCAGAGCTGTCAGCTCGCCTAATGGTTGGACTGGGAAGTAAACTCATCCTGGTCTGGCTTTCTGGCAGGTGTACCACTCTCAAGATGAAGGCTCTCATTTGATTATGTGAATGGGATATTCCTTTATATTTCCATTTAACCCACATTTACTAAGAAGAGACTGCCAAATGTCAGATGATGGGAGTGGATGGGGATAACCTAATCCCTGCCCTGCAGTAGCTAGCGGGATAGACAGTAAAGGAAAGGGGCAGTCCTATCAGGTGGGCACAAAAGAAAAAGGGACTGAAGGGACCTTGTAGGTGATGTGCAGGGACTTTCAGAACCAAGGGAGCAGCATGTGCAAAAGCAGAAAAGAGCCTTTAAATTTCTCTCTTGGGAGCCTACCTGGTACCACCCGCCGAGAAGGGCAGCCTAAAAGGTTTGGATGCAGGAAGCTTTGGTCCTGAGGAGGGGAAGTTGGAGAGTAGGGGCGCTGGGGCAAGCACATTGAGAAACAGATTGGCACAGCACTCCACCAAATGTTTGCTGCCCCCTTGTGGACTCACGGAGTGCTCTGGCTCCAGACCCTTTTTCCAGTGGCCAGCTGGCTGCCCCGCCTGCGCGACCTCACCGGCACCTCAAATTCAGCGTGTCCAAACTGGTCTGAAACCTGGGAGTCATCCTATATCGGAATTCCCTACTTCTCCGTCCAAACAGTCGCCAACTCGAGATTGAACCTACCTACTAGCATCTCCCTACCTAATTTTTTCCATTCCTACTGCTTTTTCTCTGGTTCGTTAATTTAACAAATCATTTAACAAATATTTGAGCGCCGATCATACGCCAGACACCATACTAGGCTCCGTAGGCACCCCTGCCCTCTCAGCCCCCAGACTCCGCGGCCAGGTGCCAGAGGCTGCGGCCCGATTTCCCCACCACTCCTCGGCTCCCTGCACAAGATCTGGTTCGACAGGCCGCTGGAAAACCTCCGTGATCCGCCAGCGCCCACAGGATGAGGTCGGAGCTCAGAAGTCGGTAACTAAGGCTCTCACCTGTGCAACAGCGGCCGGGGAACTAAACTCATCCTGGTCTGGCTTTCTGGCAGGTGTAGAGCTCTGAAGATGAGAGCTTTCAACATGAGCTCCAAACTGAAGCTCCTGCTCGCACTCAAGGTGAAAACCACTGCTCCCTTTTTGCTCAGCAGGTAACGCCAGCCCTCCCCATCTTCTAAGAGCCAGATCCCTCTCCTTCAGACGCAGGACTTCTCCGACGGCTACTCCTTGCTACTCCTTTCTACCGCAGGATATCTTCCTGCCTCCCTCCAGGGCGTTACAGCGGAGACTGCGCTAGTGTCCCAGCCCCACGGGGACTGCTCCGGGGCGGCCTTGCGGGTAGTTCTGTTTCCCGGCGGAGGTGCCTCGCGGCCGGACCCTCAGGCCCCGCCCCTCAGGCCCCGCCGCGTCGGGGCGTGCGCGGCCCCGCGGCCTTGGAGCTTCTGGGCTCGCGCGCCATCTTGGCTCCGGATCGACAGTGAGGCGGCTTCGGTGAGAGCTGGAACCTGGCAGGCAGCGGGGCGCTCGCGGGTGGTGGGAGAGGGGACGCCTGCTGCTTGGCCGCAGCGGCCGGCAGGACCCTGGAAATGACCAAGTCTGTCTTGGAATAGCCCGAGCAGCCTTCTGAGTCGAGCCTCTGCCCCTGAGTTTCTGAGTGACCTGGGTTGATATGGTTCGACCCTGGTAATCTCTGGGAGAGCGGAGTCATTTCTGCTTGGGGGCAGCCCTGGGTAAGGGTCCTTGGCTGTTTCTGGGGGCCCTGGGGCGAAGGGCCTTGACCCTGTCCTTGTAATGCCCCAAGCGAGGAGCGCTCTCTATTGGTATTAGTCTGGGGTGAGAGTTCCACGCCGTGTTCCAAGGAATCCAGGATAAGCGGGACTAGGCCCCAGTTCTGGAGAGTTTGTGATGAGGGGTCCTGGCGTTATCCCAAGAGCTCGGTGTTTGGGGAATTTGGTCTTGCCTCTGGGACTCCAGGATTGGAGGTGGGGGTGTTATGGCCCTTGTAGAGGACTGGGTGTATGGGATGCAGCCCCTTCCCGGAGTGAGGCAGGCATGGCCCTTGTCACGAGATGCTAAGGACCAGGGGATACGATCCTGTTTCTGGGAAGTCTGGAACGGGGAGCAGGGCCACACACTGAAGGGAGGTAAGGGATGGTGGACAGTGACCAGGAGCACATGGCCTAGCACTCATCTGATGCTTCCGTGCAGTGGGCAGCGAGAGTCACAAGACAGCAAACTGATGGAGCACTACCGGAAAGCTGGCTCTGTGGAGCTCCCAGCGGCATCCCCAGTGCCCCAGCTACCTCCTGATACCCTTGAGATGCGGGTCCGAGATGGCAGCAAAATTCGCAACCTGCTGGGGCTGGCGCTGGGTCGGTTGGAGGGCGGCAGTGCACGGCATGTGGTGTTCTCAGGTTCCGGCAGGGCTGCAGGAAAAGCTGTCAGCTGCGCTGAGATTGTGAAGCGGCGGGTCCCGGGCCTACACCAGCTCACCAAGCTACGTTTTCTGCAGACTGAGGACAGCTGGGTCCCAACCTCACCTGACACAGGGCTAGACCCCCTCACAGTGCGCCGCCATGTGCCTGCAGTGTGGGTACTGCTCAGTCGGGACCCCTTGGACCCCAATGAGTGTGGCTACCAACCCCCAGGAGCACCCCCTGGCCTGGGTTCCATGCCCAGCTCCAGCTCTGGCCCTCGTACCCGAAGAAGGACTCGAGATACCCGATCCTGAAGACCCGCTCAGCCAGGCTGTTCTCCAGGCCTGAATGTCTGAGGTGTGTGTGTCTTTTCTGAGAAGCCCTGTGACTGCCAGACATCCCCATCAAGGCTCAAGTCCACAGAGGTGGGCCCCCTTGTCATACTTCCCCTTCTCTCTGGCATGTGGGAAGGGACTGCTGTGAAGAGTGACAGGTGTGGAGCCTCTGCCAAGTTCTGCATTGCTAAAGAAGGGCTTAACTCTGCCTTCTACCTACAGTGCATCTGAACTGCCTTCTGACAGAGGTCCAGGGAGGGATTTAGAAAATAAAGTTTCTACCTATTTGATGAGACTCTACTCAGCCTGCTATGTGGAGTGGGATTAAAGAAATGGGAGTCCCTGCCCTTACTCCCTGGGAGCTGATTGGGTGAAGAAAGAGGAAGAGCAGGCTCAGGCTGATGCTGGGAGGATCTAGTGTAGATAAGAAGCCTCAGTCAGTACTGAATATAGTTAATTCCCTGGGTAGTTTTTGTACCTTTTTTGGGTTGGTTTAGGAACACTGCCTGGTCAGACATTTCTCACCATCTGCAACATACAGTATAGTATAGTGGTTGTGAGCATGGACTTAGGCACCAGTCTGCCTGGGTTTCAGTCCTGGTCTGCCACTTAGCAAGCTACTACTCTGTGCCTTAGTGGTCTTATCCATAAAACAGGAATACAATACTGTTTATCACATAGGGTTGTTACGAGGTTAAATAAAGACATATTTGACATTTAGAAACCACCTTGGCACATAATGCTATTAAATGTTAATTACTATTATCATTATTAATGACTTACCTATCCCAATGCAACAACTATCTCACACGTCCTTCCCTCCAGCTTCCTTGCCCCGATCTCAGCTATGGAGCTGGACTCCTGCTTTGAAGAGATAGAGGCCTTCTGAACTCCCTAATGTTCCATCTTCACCTCCAGACCTATCTGTATACACATTTATCCTCAACTCTGCTAGTTTGCAAACATGGTTTTTTCTATCTTAGAAACATAACTTTGGGTTGGGCACAGTGGCTGATGCTTATAATCCTAGCACTTTGGGAGGCTGAGGCAGGAGGATTGCTTGAGCCTGGGAGGTTGAGGCTGCAGTGAACCATGATTGTGCTACTGCACTTCAGCCTGGGCGACAGAGTGAGACCCTGTCTCAAAAACAGAAAACAGGCTGGGTGCAGTGGCTCATGCCTATAGTCCCAACATTGGGAGGCTGAGATGAGTGGATCGCTTGAGGCCAAGACCAGCCTGGCCAACTTAGTGAAACCCGTCTTTACTAAAAATATAAAAAATTAGCTGGACTGGTGATGTGCACCTGTAAACCCAGTTACTCGGGAGACTGAGGCAGAAGAATAGCTTGAATCCAGGAGACAGAGGTTGCAGTGAGCCAGTATCACACCAGGGTACTCCAGCCTGGGTGGCAGAGCAAGACTCTGTTGAAAAACAAAACAAAAAATACTTCAATCCCACATCTCTCTTCAGGTATCATCCTTGCCTTTTTTTCCCTTTGCTGCTCCTTTTCTGCTTCACCGTGGCCTTAAACTCTCAGGTCAGGGGCATGAGGAAAGAGGTGACTGTTGTATCAGTAGCCGGGCGCTATGGGAACTAGAGCAGGATTATGTGCAGTAGTGAACTCTGAAGAACTGAATCAGTTGGGTCTCCCATGGATCTTGAGATTTTTCTCCAATGTGTCCAGCAGCCTGGGTGTCCAGTCGTGAGGAAAGCAGAAGGTTGGGGCTCTTCTGGGTTCACATTGTAGTAGAGTGGGCCCAGCAATGTAAGGATTTTGAAATGATACTTAACTGAGACCAGGCAAGAGGGATTCAGATGTTGGGAGAGGGAATTGGGGGACTGAAGGTCTTGATAAGGGCTTAGAGGAGGGGTGAGGTGACCATAGGGCCAGCAGGCAGTGGTCAAAATTTTAAATACTACATCCTTTGCTTTCAAAAATAGGTCAGCTCTGAGTGATGTGGAGGACCCTGGGGGAGGGCAGGTGATGAGGAGTCAGATGATATTAGAAGAGAAAACCTCAGTAGCTGCTGAGCCAGGCCTCTCAAATGCACAGGTTGTGAAGCGTCTAATACACCCCTAAAGGCAATTATGGCTGCAGTGGCAGTGACTAAGGTGTCTTGCTGTCAGCAACTGACTGACTTCCCCCATTCTCCTCGAAGCTAATTCAGGGAT